GAATTATTGATCATCTTAATTCAGCTAGTTAGTGAGCTGTATCACATTTATTAAAGTCACTTTTATTTCTATGGGTTTAGTTTCACCATTTATTAGGGGAAAAGGAAACAACTCAAATTTGTGAGGGAGCTGTGGGTTGTCAGGAAAGGCTTTTCAGAGCAGTAAAGCAATCAAATGACAGTAACTGATTCAATATTTGTTTCCTTTGTCTCTTTTTTTTACTTTTTAGTTTTGTAGAACACTTGATCACTGCCATCTCACTTGGTCCTAGTTGATGTATCATCTACATTTTTATTCAAGGTGTACTATAAAATGCTATAAAAGGCTATCCTAAACTGGTTTTAAGCATATTTATTTTGTTTGTTAAGCATAAAATACACAAGAGGATTTTTATGGAGTGACTCCTTGTTACAAGGTACTTTGCGTTTATAATCCGCCTCAGTCACCTCAGTTTCATTCCATAGCTTACAGGTATGATGTGCTGTATACTCAAAAGCCTCACCAGCTGCTTGCCCCACCCATTTGCTTAAATGTATCAGTTTTTTCTAAGCTTAACATTTACCAAAACCCGAGTTCAAAAGATGAATATTTTTCCTTGTTAGATGTTAACTAAACATTTTTAAATGTACAAAGTTTGCATACAAACATAACCCAAATGACATGAAAGTTACTTGATTCATGACTTACCTGTGTAATCTCCTGGCCTACTGGAAATTTCTCCCTTCCCTCTAGTCTAGTATCTCAATTCTCAGTTATCGGGAGGAAGTTAGGGACCTAGAATTCTTGTGATTGTTTTCAGAGCAGTAGCATTTTGCTAAAATAATTCAAAACATATATCCCTATCTTGGGACTTGAAGAGAATGTGAAATGCTTTATCCTCTGTTTTGAGGGAAGGAGGTTGTTCTTAGCCAATTAACAAGTAAATTTAAATAAATAATCCAGATCTGGTGTGGGTAAACAAATTTTAGTTTTAGGAACTGTCAAAATTAAGTATGCTTCCCCTTTGGGTTCCAGATTTTACTTAATACTTTTTGAAAGCAGTAAGATAAAAATTTCAGGACCTCAAGAGATGGGTCAAAAGAGTTTCACTGTAATACGAATCGTGAAGCCACAACTGGAAACCCCCTGTGCTGTTTCTTCCTCTTCATGGTGGTAGAGGTTACAGTTGTCAAATAGTCCAGAGAAACAATGAGAACTTAGGATTTCTGATAGAAAAGTTTTAACAGAGGTGTACTTGTATGCAAATAATGTGTGATGCCTCAGTTTCCTCCAAAGTCTTAGTTAACAGAGTTAGAAAAAAATCAGATTATATTTGAAGTTCTGTGTTCATCGTGGAGTAATTATTATTCCAGTGGTACAATATACAAGATAACTTTAATGCACTTTTTGGTATAGCATAAAGATTTTCTCTTTCTCTGAAGTATTTCTGAAATTAAAAACAAAATAAGTGTGGTAGAAGCCGTTATTTATGAATTATCATGCTAAATTAATTAACTCATTAATTAATTTATTCAGGGCACACCCAGTTATTCCCCAAACTGAGTGACATGTATCTTGTAATAGACACATTAACCTTGAGAAAACCCAAAGGATCATTATAACAGCAAACAAGAATGTAGGCATCCACATAGTGGATGACTTTAATGACCTGGCACACAGTGCTTTATCTACTTGGCACATGTATAGGTACAAGGAACACTTAACATTTTGCACCAGAGCTTATTATATACCTTTTTCAATGCTTTAGGTATTACGTAAATGCTAAAATTCTAAAACCTATAGTAAAGCAAAGACCCAGATTTTATTCTACAGTAGTTTTGCCAGTAGGTCTCATCCTTACTAACTTACCTTTTAAGATGAAGAACAATGTAACCAAGTGGGAAGAAAAAGAGCCAATATGAAGAAATTGTCATTGTTTTGAAATCTGCTTCTTTTCCTTTCCTGTATTTCTGTGCAAGAAGAGAATCATCTCTGACCTTGTGAAAGGCAAATACCATGTGTTGGTATTTTATTACATAATTATTATATTATATGACAATATAATAATTGGTTGGTACTCATTTGGCAAGGACTTGAAATTTCCTGCTTAAGATCCTCCACCTATTTTTAACAGCTGGGCTGCCCAACCCCTGGATCACCAACCAGTACCAGTCCGTGGCCTGTTAGGAATTGGGCTTGTACAGCAGAAGGTGAGCAGCTGGTGAGTGAGCAAAGTTTCATCTGTATTGACAGCTGCTCCCCATCGCTCGCATACATTACCGCCTGAGCTCCACCTCCTGTCATATCCGCAGCAGCATTAGATTCTCATAGGAGCAAGAACCGTATCGTGAACTGCTTGTGTGAGGGATCTAGGTTATGCTCTCCTTATGAGAACCTAATGCCTGATGATTGGTCACTGTCTCCCATCACCCCTACATGGGACTGTCTAGTTGCAGGAAAACAAGCCCAAGGCTCTTGCTGATTCTACCTTATAATGAATTGTATAATTCTTTTGTTATATATTGCAATATAATAATAATAGAAATGAAGTGCACAATAAATGTAATGCGCTTGAATCATCCCCAAACCATCCCCAACTCCACCGGTCCACATCTTCCACAAAACTGGTCCCTGGTGCCAAAAAAGGTTGGGGACCACTGTTTACCAGAATACATAGCGTGGGTTTATAAATTCCCTATCTTTGCAGCACATCCTTTATTTCTGGCTTGCATGGGACTTGAAAGCCTAAAACAAACTAAATGCTAACAAAAATTGTTTTTAAAATTATGACAAATTTTTTTTATTTCAGATATATAGATCTGCAGTCCAGAACTATGAATTTTTTTCAGTTGAGTAGTCTGTTTGCCAATAAATAAATAAATAAATAAATAAATAAAAACTTGCCTATGTTTCTTCTTGTACATTTTATTTAGGATTTGCCCTTAGACATTATTTAATGCTTTTCTGACATTGTAGGGAAAGTGAGAATAACTGAAACACTAGTTCCTTAAAATTTCTGTTAAAATTGGTTAAAGGCCATAGAACCTTTTTTTTTTTTTTAAGTTAAGCATATTATCGGGAGAGGTATCCTATAAGAAGTAAGGCGCAGGTAAAGATTTTAGAGATGTGTAGTCCAGTATATTAATTAGAGGGGACTACCTATTTCTAATCCGGAATGACTCATCTTTTCTGATATATCTGTTAAAGTACTCTTAGCATATTTTAAGAAAATTGGCATTTTAAAGTATAGTCTTTGATGGTAGAAATGTGAGGTTGACAAAATCATGTCCTCTTATATGTATGAATTTAGTCTTCTTTATACAATTCTTCCTATGATGGAATCTAAAACACAAATGTCTTCAAAACTTTTAGTCTACTTTGGTTACATGTGTTTATTAGCTTATTGTTCACCTTATAGATTAATGGCAAAAATAAAAGTATAAATTTTAATATTTCTACCTTTCTGGCTTGATGAGGTCTACAGCATTAATTTCTTACTGGTTAATGCAAACTGGGATTCCTGTTGTCCTAAGAAAATCTGGGAAGTTAAATCAGTAACACAAACACATCTTTTGATTTATTTCAGGACCACATAAACCCATTTTGAATTATTCAACCATTGCTCAACATCTTGAGTATGTGTAATTAAGAAGTGACTATAACTGGAATGTTCTTAAGACTTTAAGTTGATTATAAAATTTTGTGCTTAATGTTGGCAATAATAAAAACAAAACAAAAACTTTTATTTTAAAACACAGTCTTGCTCTGTCACCCGGGCTGGAATGCAGGGAAGTCATCATACTTCATTACAGCCTGAATACCCCAGGCTCAAGCAGTCCTCCCACCTCAACCTCCTGAGTAGTTGGGACTAGAGGCACATGCCACCATGCTTGGCTCATTTTTTTTTAGTAGAGACAATGTCTCTCCATGTTGCCCAGGCTGGTCTTAAACTTCTGGACTCAAGTGATCCTCCTGCCTCAGCTTCCCAAAATACTGGCATTATAGGCAAGAGCCACCACACCTGGCCAAAAAATAATTCTGAAACAGCAAGGAGGAAGGTGGTTTCTTCTCAGGAATTCTAGATTTTAGTTGAGCATGTAAAGGGATCGGTTGACTTACTAACCACTTAGGATTGCACAGTAAGAGAATTTAGTTAAAGGGTAGCCAGCACAGGAATGGGCCTGGGAAGAGGAAGGGCAGTTTGTGTTAATGTGCATGGGTCCAAGACAAAAATGTTGGGTAACAGAGTTTTGCCTAATGCATTGTTGCTAAAAGGGATGAAGGGCATCAGGATCTACAGGAGATGGAAAAAGTAGTGACTGGATAGTACTGGGAAAAACTAGAATCGGATCAAGGCACTGGAAGGCAGAAATACTAGGTAGAATGTTTGCTGCTGTTTCAGTTTCTGTATAAATACCGAGTACAACGTTTCACTTGGGTGGTCAAGGTGCTATGGCTGTGACGACTCCTGAGTGAGTTTTCTAGTAAAAAAAAAAAAAAATCTCCAAATGCACGGAATAGTCTCAGGCCTTCTCAAATTTGCAAAGAACAGGTCCACAAGACCTAAATTGCAGTAGTGTAACCTGATAATTAACATTTTTTGCTTTCCTGCTAGAACATTCCTGGGGCCCAAGTCCAGAGACTGGGAACTGAACCACGCATTTCCTTTAGATTGTACAAGTTGTGAAGGTTGATGTTATTAGCTTGGTTACTATTTGGAGTCTTAGCTCATAGTGTGTCTTTATGGCTTTCTGCCTCACTGGACCCTCTTCCCAAAAGGCTTTAGAATGTGTTCACCATCATGAGCTGACCAACAATTTCTAAATTCCTGCTCAGAAACACAGCAAGGGGAATGCAGTCAAGCACAAAGGGCTTAAATGACCAGGTAAGGCTGGGCTGGATGAATAAAGAGGAATGTCCTATGAGTGTGACTGTGTAGTTTTACAGTATCCTGTTTCAACTGTTAACATTTGACTTGTGGCCTTGTAGACAGTGTATTAATATCAGATCTTCTTTTTCAGAACTGTTTTAATCATGGACAAACAAAGTAAGTTATTTTAAATGTTTACTTTCCTCCCTATAGTGTTAATCTGTTGGTAACTTGTTATTTGTCATAATGTTTTATTCAGTGTCTGACAGTATATAATTTGCTTTCTGTTGTTTATGCTCCAGAATACAATGTCTAGTTCAGTATTTTGACTATAGAGAAGATGTACAACAATACCACTGCCACCAGGTTCTTCATTAAAAATAAGAAAACCTTTTGGAAAGCTAAGAAATGCTAGATTTATTGGGAAATATGTTCTGTAACATATATTCAAACC